CATACCGGCGTGTGTGTGAAATGTAGTGTGTGTATAGGAGAGATGTGTGTTGGGCTGGTATACTAGGTAAAGGAATAGGAGAGCTCAGGATAACATGGTGGAGCGAGTACGGGATGGTAGGGTCCTTGAGTTGGTAACATTAGGGGACGCCGATATTGGTGGTCGCTATCTAAAAAAAATAAGTTGATCGCCGATGGTGGTGATGGTCGGGAGACTCCGACGTGAAGGGGTTTGGTCGCCGATATTGATGACGGGAAAGAATGGTATTTGGGTGTGTACGTGGCTTATTAGGGGTCGAGGGATAGACGGTTTATTGGTGGTCGCCGATACTGGTGACGGGTGAGAATGGAATCTGTGTGTGTGTGTGTGGCCTATTAGGGGTCGAGATATTGGCGGTTTATTGGTGGTCGCCGATACTAGTAACGGGTGAGAATGGAATCTGTGTGTGTGTGTGTGGCCTATTAGGGGTCGAGAGATAGGCAGTTTATTGGTGGGCGCCGATACTGGTGATGGGTGAGAATGGTATCTATGTGTGTGTGTGTGGCCTATTAGGGGTCGGGAGATAGGTGGTTTATTGGTGATCGCTAATATTGGTGACGGGAGAGAGTATTTGTACGGTTAGTTAACGTCGAGGGGCGGTCACAATTAACATGCATAATTTTTAAATTACCAATGGTAGGTATTAAGTTGAGTAGGTGGAGTACATATAAGACCCCTGAGTTCCCTATTGTTGTATATGATGCTTGTAACTTAATTTTTACTGTACTGAGTTGTATATACTAACTCATTATTATTTACAGATGAAGTAGAGATGAAGTCGGGATCGGAGTTGCTGATTTCCGAGCCTAGCGAATAGAGGAACATGTCAATAATGCTTTTGTTATTTGGCATGATTGAGTGTGTAATAACTAGTAATAAGGTAGATAGTGTATCTGCTGGGAGTCTGTGAGATTATTCTTCATTGTGATATTACATGTAGGGTTGCAGGTTTATTGTGACTTTGAATAATAGATTGCGGTAAGGTTTCTATATTTATGATGGATTTAGAATAACGCGTTCATATGTGGCCGTGGAATTGTCTTAACTTACACTATCAAGAAAAAAAAAAAAAATGGAGCATTACATGCTCTCTCACTTCTTCTTGTTTAGGTAACATCTAAACTCAGTTTTTTTTTTTATTTAATTTTTAACAAGATAGTTGAGTTTTAGACTTAAAAATTTTACGAAAAATATATTAATTATTTTAATTTATTATATTATAAAATATATAAAAATAAATATAAAATACTGATAATTAAAATATAACGAAAATGATATTAAAAATTAAATTATAATACGTACAAAAATTTTATGGACTAATTTATTGATTTATTTTTTTAAAAGAAAAAAACGTAAAAGAATTAGATGGTGAATTAGGTTGTTAATTGTCTATTAAAAAATGGTTGTCACAAAAAAGTGATTATAACTTTTTCTTAGTGGGCCTCTTAAAACGTTGTTCGTCGAGAAATTTGCAGAGACGCAAACGAAAAAAAGAATTTGCACCTGCTATTAAATTTATTATTTATTGGTTTTACATAAAATAAATAATATTATTCCCACTCAAGAGGGCGAAATTGTTTATGCTACATAATTATTTATAATAATATGGTTAATTTAAACCATTAAATTTCTTAAAATGTTCAGAAAATATTAAGTGGAACCCAAAAAAATTATTATTTTTTAAAATAACCCCAAAAAGAATTATTAAAGCAAACAACTTTTATTTTATATGTATTGATTAAAATGCTAATTTATTTTATTTGTTTATTTTTTTTAAAAAAAGTATAATAATTTACTAATACATTAAATTAATTTAATTAATTTAATTTATAATACTCTAATAGCATCGACAAAGCCCTACCTAAACCATTCTTGGAATACTCCCTGCTCCACACCTATTATTTTAGGCTCCTTAGACGTCAGGATGCCGTAATGGTGACGCAATAAATAAAAAACAAAATTTACAAGAAAAAAGAGTTGCATGCTTGAATATAATTAGAAATCACTAAACAAATAGTTTCTTATACACTTGAATAACATAAAATTACGTAAAGCAATAATATGCCGTACCAATAATTACATTTTTGTAAGTAAAAATATAGTTTTTTTTTTTATAATTAATTGATTTGTATATATATATATTATAATATTTTTTTTATAAAAATACACTGAAAATATATGAATAGTTAACATCCAAAAAAAATGTATACGTACATGTATATATATATATATATATATCACATGCCACTAATAGGGATGCCCATGAATGTCAGACTTTGCTCCCTATATTGACTCTTTTATCAAATCTTGAAGATCTTGATTGGCCCATATAAAATCCAAAGATGGTAAGAGGAGTCTAAATACGTGACATGGATAGTAATTGCCAATTGGCTTTATATCTATATGTCTAATATACATATTCTACTTTTAATAAATTAAGACCAAATCTATATGTATATATATATATATATATATATAATATTCTCTATATATAATATAGTAGCCAATTCTAATGCCCAACGGTTCCTTGTATATATGTACATCTTTTACTTCTGATTAGTTAAGACCAAATCTATATATATATATATATATATTCTCTATATGTTATATGTATATCATATGACATTATATGACCCCTCTTTACATGGGTGTTGAAAATCTATCATTTTTTTTTTCTAAATAAAGAGACAATGAACTTATATTTATTAGTTCATCTCTGTCTTTGCCTCTCGTACTTAAATTTAATTAACCAGTAATTATAATTTTAGAATAATTAAGCACTAATTTGATTATTTTACGAGTGTTATAATTAAACATCATGATTAACATTTTAATTATTTAATGATTTTAACACAAAATACAATTAAAGGTGAGCATTTTCCTTCTTTTATTTTCTTTTGTATTTTCTAAATAAAAACATTTCTCAAACAGAAAGATAGTTTGATTTCTACTCCTCAACTCCACCCAGAACAAACCCATGTCATTCCAACTTAAATATATAACCCTTCTATACTTACCTCCGCCATTACCAACAACCCAACTCACATACATCGACATACATCATCCCCCCCTACCTCCACTCTGCAATTCCCACATCCCAAAAATGGGCAACTCCGCACTTTCTTGCATCCCAAGTCTCTCTTCTTGCGCAGCCAAGAAACACAGAGCTCGGTTCGTTGCCGGTAATGGCGCTGAGAAGGTGGAGCTCGAGGCAACCACCTTGGCCAAGGATATGTCTGTGGATTTCTCTGCTCGGTCTGTAAGCCATGGAGGGCATAGTTCACCTTATGGTTTAAGTTCATCTAAAAACGACGCCGTGCAAGCTGGTGGTGTTAAGAGGATTAGATTGGTTTTAACGAAACAACAGCTTCAGCAATTACTCACAAAGGAAATATCATTAGGACAGGTGATTACAGGGACGGAGACGACGTCGTTTTTCTCCGCTAATTTGTTAGATAGCGAGAAGCGGAAGCCGAGGCTCGAGACCATTGAGGAAGAGAGTTGAGTGAGGCATGAACTTCTTTTTCTCTCTCTCTCTCTCTCTCTTTTTTCTTTTTCTTTTTCTTTTTTTTTTTTTGTTTGGTTGATATGTGAACTTGTCATTATGAATTTCGTCATATTATATTACAAGCCAAATTATACAGAGCAGTGAAAAAAGAGAAGTTAAAGGATAGGAAGAAGAAGAAGAAAGAGAGAATTGAGAAGGGTTTTCGAGGTCAACGAAAGTTTTGATTTTTACCACACTATAGAGTATATACACACTCACACATCACACACACATATATATATATATATATTCTTTACAAGCCAGGCTATTATACAGAGCAAGGAAAACAGAGAATAAAAAGGGAGGAGAAGAGGCTTAAACCTGAAGCATCTTCCAGGTTCAGATCATTTTCCTACTCGATTTGAACATCAAAGACCTTACGTTCAACTTTAGTCTTAGGAATAGAAATGAAGAGAACTCCATTCTTGAGCTCTGCTTTCACCTTCTCCTTCTCGCAGTTATCGGGAAGTCGAAGACGAGTGTCGTAAGAACTGAAACTGCTACTCGACCATGAATCATCTCCGCCGTCTTCCTTCTTCTTTTGCTCTCCCTTGATGACAAGCACGTCATCTTCCACAGAAATCTTAACCTCGTCTTTCGAGAGTCCCGGCATGTCAAAACGCATCTTTATTTCGTGCTCGTCGTCTTTTATGTCCCAAGGCGCGCGGATTTCGCCGGCCGTTCTACTTCTGCCCGGAAACGTCATCGCCTCCTCGAAGATTCTGTCCATGGTGTCTAGCATCTGCCGCATTGTTCTCATCGGAGACAGGGGATCTAATAAGCCTGGAATGCTTCGCCATGTTAATTTTCGGCTGAATTCATTGTCGGAATATACAGAACATGTTTTCTTGAATATGATTACATGTTGAAGTTACGTTGGTCCAGAAAACGATCAGTTATGATTGGTTTGTCGCAGGTTATGAGATTATGCCATGGAATATTTCTTTTTTACTTTTTCTTTTACTGTAAAAAGATGACTCCTTCAGTTCTTTTCATGCAAGAGTCTTTTCTTTTTCACTCCTGCTTTTAGCTGGAAAGCAGCATCAAGTTCCTTCAACCTGTTTACTTACTGGGAAGGGAAAAAGCAGGGCATCTAAAACGTATACACTACTGATAGCTGATGGAAAAGCTGACGGCAAGAAAAGAATTGATAAGAACGAAAATCACCCACCTAAAATTTACCTAATCCCAATTAGAATGCTTCATAATCAGAAAACCCAGTAAGCTTTTCCATGATTTGATTACTTATTAGATAAGGGAATAACAGAGCAAGCTCAGAGAACAGGGGAGCAGATAAATAAACAGCCGCAATCCCGGCTGAAATCACAAATGGGTTTTAGTTATTGAATTTAGAATTTTCATTTGAGAAAATTAACACAGGATCGGAAAAGAAACTTACCGAAAGGAGAAACATCCATGGCCAACTGGCGTCCAGGTCTTCTCTCCACCGCAGTCCTATTATTATTCCCTTGACTGCTACTTACATGCACGTCAACAGACGAATCCTTCTTCTCCTCAGCAGCTCTCACAACCAGAAGCCGACAACTCCTTTTGCCCGAGAATTTCCTCGCCGGGAAACAAACGGCACATGGCGCGACTGCTCTGACTGTTCTCGAATTCTGTGAAAGCATAGGTAAGGAAGATGAGCATGACATTAATGTTGACGCCATTGTTGTTTTCTCGCTGTAGAATTCACTCACGAAACGGAACTTTTTCTGGTTTTCTCGATGTGGGAAGATGGATTACTTGTGGTGTATATATATAGGAGGAGGACAGTCACAGAGGAGGAGGGAGGAGGAAGGGAAGACTTGTCCAGAGGCAACGTGAAAGCTTCAGATGGTGCGAGAAGAAGTTGGGAAACTCTGGAATCGTCACTTGAAATCGCCGTTACCGTTCGCGTCAACTCAAACGAAAATGACTGATTTTACACGGTTCTCCTACTTTCCGGAAACGTCCGTGATTTCTTGACCGTATATATCTATGCAGTCCATTCCATTTCACATCTTGAAGATTAATTTTCTTTGAACAACTAACTAAAATTTTGGCACCATCAATTATAAATTCAGTATTTTAGTAGATGAAATATTTATATCCCACTTAAAATTTATTATTTTATAAATAATAATAATATTTATAATATTTAATTTAATAAAATTAAAAACTAGTACGTAGAATTCATTATTTTGATAATATAATTAAAATGATAAATTTAAATTTAATTAAAAATATAAAATTTATTATTTAAAAATTATAAATTTAAATTTTATCAAAAATGCAAAAATTATTAATTTATAAATATATTATAAATTAATAGTAGTGAACTTATAAATTTTAATTTAATAAAATCAAAAATTAATATAATAGTGATTAAATTTAATTTAATTTCAATAAAATTATTATATTTTTAGAAAAAATATAAAAACGATTACGTTTTGTTAATGACTAGAATAAAATAATTTGTCAAAAAAAGGAGAGGAACCAAAGTTGTGATTTTGACTGGTCAACGAGGCAGCATCTTTCAACAATTAAACTCCTTTACAACTCCTCGCCTCGGACTACCATAATAACATAACACTCTCCTACTCTATTCCTACTTGCTCCCTACCAAAATGTATATAATGTGTATATATATATATATACACTCTCCTACTCTATTCCTACTTGCTCCCTACCAAAATGTATATAATGGGTATATACATACACTCTCCTACTCTATTCCTACTTGCTCCCTACCAAAATGTATATAATGTGTATATATATATAAATACACTCTCCTACTCTATTCCTACTTGCTCCCTACCAAAATGTATATATATACACAATAAAACACAATAAATATGCACCATTACTATAAATTATTTGTGGGTTTTTCATGTTTTATGTTTAGCTATTAAAAGTACGACACTTTTATTATAATTTCATTGTTATTTATCTTTACGATGCATAATCATCTCTAAAACATGCGCACATAATAAGATATTATGAATTCTTTGAAAAAAAGTGTAATAAGATCTTTTGAATATCATTATTGTATCTTAAATCTTTATTAAAAACTATATAATAAAGTTTTAAAAATTTTATATATAGGGTCTTGTACATACCACTTAATGAATTACGTACATAGTTTTTTTTTTTTATCATATAATAATTATTATACTTTTTAATTAAGTAACAGAAAATACCCAACACGTGAAGCCATGAAAATTCCCTACACAAAACACATGAAAGCAAAAGCTTACCTCTTTTCTCACTTTCTTCTCTCCCTGCTTCAGCTTTCAGCATTCTCGAGACCTCCCTCACTCTCTTTCATGTATTGTCTGGTTCGGCACAAAAACAAAAAAAAAAAAACAATTTACCATCTCTTTTAGCAACCACATCTATACATACACACATATAATCATTTCCACTCTGCCCTTTTTAATGTTACGGTGTTAATACATTTTGGCGTTGTATATACGTACATGTATGTATGTATGTATTCGTCTAAGTGTGTGTCTATATATATAATGAGGCTGAGCAGAGCAGGGTCTGTTTCCTAAATGCATGGACAACCCATGAGCAGTTGCAGGTTTTGCATAATTTGTTTGCTTTCACCTTTCATTTATATCTCCGTCCCTTTTGCATTTAAAGATGCCAACTACTCTTTTCAAACAGAATATGCTATCAGCTACGAAAACCCATTATATATATCCACGTTCTTTTCACTAAAAAGAGATTTGTAACATATATGCAAGCAAAGAATTTTCATGGGGAAGATGGGAGGAACCTCTTGGCTGACGGCGGTGAAGAAAGTCTTCCGATCTCCTACCAAGCAAATCAATGACAAGAAAAGCGGCCGACGAACCGTAGACCATGAACAAGAGGAAGAAGAAAAGGTTTTCTGCTCTATTATTTTCTTTTACCACTCGTTCATATATTCGTGTTATTTTGGTCGTGTAATAATCTTTAAGCTTCTGAGGTTAATTTGTGCAGAAAAGAGGAAAACGACGATGGATTTTTAAGAAGCCGACGTATCAAGAAACAATCATACAACACTATGAAGCCAGGGAAGCTTCAAATGGTATCTCAGAAGCAGCAGATGCGGAGCAGAGACATGCAATTGCGGTGGCAATGGCGAAGACAGCAGCTGCTCAAGCTGCTATAGCTACAGCACAGGCTGCTGCCGAGGTTGTTCGACTCACCCGACCCACCCGACCCACTTCCGTTTCCGTTGGACAGCACATGGCCGCCATTGTTATACAGACAGCTTTCAGAGGATATCTGGTAATGCATGCGTGTAATTAATATAAACCCAGCCTTTTAGACGTTAAATTTCTGAGATAAAATGTGGGTCAATATGGTTGTCAAGGCAAGGAGAGCTCTTCGGGCGCTTAAGGGGCTGGTTAAGCTGCAAGCATTGGTGAGAGGCCACAATGTGCGGAGGCGAGCAAACAAGACTCTTCGCTGCATGCAGGCTCTGGTTCGTGTTCAAGCTCGAGTTCGTGACCATCGAAAGAGGCTTTCTTCTCGAGAAAGCAGCCTAGGGTCCATGTTAAGTGACCCCAACAGCTTATGGGGTTCACATTTTGCCGACAGGAAATCCATTAACGTAAGAAAGTTCTTTGCTTCACTCTCTGATCTATAGCTTCCAAATCAATATATATCCTCTAATTTGCTTTATGATGTATGTATAATGCAGTCAGGAGACGAGAGCAGTTGGGCGGATGAGCGGATCCGTTGGGACGAACAGCCACAGACACTCGAAGAGATTAAGAACATGTTGCAGAACAACACCAAGGAGAGAGCTTTAAGACGTGAAGAAGATCTTGCTCATGTTTTCTCGAAACAGGTTCTCATCTTCTTTAACTCTCGTTCATGGTTTTATGTCCATATTGTTTATTTTTGCGCCTGATTAATCATGGTGGTTTAAAAGATGTGGAAACCCAGAGATGGTCATGAAAGTGAAGGAGACATAATTGATGAGAGCATAAGTAGACGAAGACGACCCAGATGGGAAATTACGAGATGCAGTAATGGAAGAATGTCCTGTGATCAAATCCTCAGAGAACCAATTAAAACAGTTGAAATTGACACTTACACTAAATCAAATCATCACCACCATCATCAACAGCAACAACACAGGTCTGTTGTGTATTCTGCAGCCTCTCCTCTACACGGAGCCCACCGCGGCAGCTCGGTCATGATCACACCATCACCATACAAGACAAGGTCTCTGCAAGTTCATTCAGCCAGCCCTCGTTGCCAGAGAGAAGAGAAAGTTCATACTCCTACACAACACAGTCATAGACCAATTGGTGTAAGTTCTAGTAATGTTGCAGGTCCAATCCCAAACTACATGGCTGCCACCGAGTCTACCAAAGCTCGGTTTCGGTCACAGAGTGCGCCGAGACAGAGACCTTCAACCCCGGAGAGAGATAAACCCTGTTCTGCAGCGAGAAAACGCTTGTCATTTCCAGTTCCCAAGCCAGGAGGGGTTAATGATGATGGGGATGTTGATTATGAGTACGAGTCGAAGAGTCCGAGCTTCAAAGACGTCCATGGCTGCTGTAATAGTAATAGTAATAATGTTGTTGGTATTGAACAGAGGTGGAATATGTGTTCTTATCCTGTTGAGAGTGTTGGTGACGAAATTACCTTTCCACCTCTCAACAGTGATCTGAGAAAATGGTTGAGGTAAGCCAACGAAAGAGGAAAGCTGATAAGAGCAAGTGTTAATTAATCAATGGCAGGTCTTAATGTGATTAAGATTAATTAGTTGCATATGATACCAAAAATTTGGAGATGGAGCTAGTTAATTATTATTAATTAAATGGAACAAAATGTTTTACGGAAGATATACAACTAAAACCTGGATTCTCCAGATAATATGATAGCATGAAGAGCTTCATCGATAGCAGACTGCATACATAGGTAAGCAACAGTTGTTGGATATTATTTCTCTCTGACGCCTATAGCAGCCAATGACATGATTTGAACTTCCTAACTTTAAAATCTCAAAGTGAAATGGTAATTTCCATGGATGAGATAAAGATAAAACACAAGGTCTTCAAGTAAACTGAGTCAACCAAACTAGTATATCATATAGCAATACAGCAGAGTGAAAAGTGATTATTGTAGAAAAAGAGGGAAAACCAAAAGCTACTGAGAGAGCATTTAGATTCAAGAGGAAAAACATCCTTGGAAGCCTATTTTGAAATGCAGGCCCTTTCCCCATGTGGCTGTATTCTTACCATTGAGAATATGAGAAAGAGAGGTTTGGTCATTACTGACCTTTGTAATATTTGCCTGGGGACAATGAAAAACCATGCTATCTTCTTTGAAGTGTAATGGAAGAAAGCTTTGGTACCCGGAGATCTACTTATCGGGTATTCGATAATTGGTAAATAGATCAATATCCACCCAATTGAAAGTCTAGGAGGGCACTCGGCTGGTGGGCGTAAGAAGACTGCTACCAGCCTCATTCCCGACTCCATTTCTCAGACAATTTGGAGAGGGAGAACTAAAAGAGTTTTTTATGGTTCAACCGCTAGATTCTTCTATGCTTAAAGACCTATGGTTCTAGAACTCGTATTTTTTGTTTAAAGTTCATCCACTCCTTTAAGAAGATTTATGGAACCACATTGATGTTCTTACTGACTCAATCTTGTAATTTTTCTCTTTCTCTACACGGGTGGCACCCTTTTTTGCCTCTGTTTATAATATTTTCTTTTCCCTCTCAAACGAAGTACTGCAACTCGGCAAGCATATTCAACAAGCACATTCCGGTTGCTAGTTCATATCTACTCCTATAACAAAATTTGTAGCTCAGTTATCAAACTTCATTAAAGAAAAAGAATCCTAAACCAAATCTCAAAGCAAAAGCCATTAGGCTGCAACAACTCCGCAACAACATAAAATGACTCGAACAAGTGCTCACTCATCCGAGAAGATCAGTATCAAACGACACTTTCCTAGTCCGCCACATACAACAGCCTTTAGCTTTACAAGGTGTAAACCAGCAAAAAAGAACAAATTAGCCACAGCCTATCTTTCCATTCAAGCACCAAACCCTGGCACGTAGCTGACGATGTGTTAACACAGACACATTTTCGAAGTTCAAAAAATATAGAGAGATCCATTCATTTAACCCAAAATTGACATCTGTATATGCCTCGAGTAACAAAACCTGAGTCCTATGATCAAAGATAAATCTTTGAGCAATATCACTAAAAGAGAACATGAAAAGGAACAAATCTCTACACGAACAGTGAGCGTAAACAAATCTTGATGCGAAAATCCTACCCTATGCCAGATGATAAATTCACCCAAAGCATAATCCAGATCACGTCAACAACATTTTTTTTAATAATCCAAAACTGACGGTTGGGGACAATTAAGAAAGAAACTCGAGGCTAAAAATTCATAGGACACATACTGACTAAAGTATTTACAATCAGCAAAATTCCTAATGTTCTACCGATAATAAAGCAACCCATGCATACTTAAATATAGCCTTCCATTTTCATCCACAAAGACATGAATCAATTACTACCATGGAAGGAGCAGAGCCCAGCTGGTCAAGAACCCCAGTAGACGTCAATCATAATCTGGCAATTGTATTTCCTAATCTCAATTATATTGCTGATTTTTCTCAATACCTCCAGTTAGAAAGCAAGATGCCCATTTGCCAATTGAAACAAATAGGCGATGCTTATAATTGGAAGCATTTGGGATCATTCGAACAGCCATGAAATTTCCCGCAATCAATTAAAACGAGAACCCCAAGTGCTCCCATTCGCTAAAAATAAAGCATAGATGATTGCCACTCCAATAAACAGAAGCGTTTATCAGTAATGATTTTGACTGGGTACCTGACGGGAGATGACTCGGTGGACAACTTTGTAATTCTCGCACAAGACGTACAGACCCGGTACAGACCGATAAAGACACTGTTGCAGCTCCGATGAAGAACGACGCCAACCTCACCCTCAACGCGTATCCAATTTATGTTTCCTTCTTCTTCCTTCTACTGATTTTCTCTCCTTTTTTCTTTTAAATATTCAATTCTGATACTCTCTTTCCCTCCAAAATGTAGCCAATAAATCAATTTGTTGAAACGACATCCTATGAAACGGATTAAACGACTTCGTTTTCTTGCCTTCTTTCTCTAAGTAACAATCATAAACAATCCAGGACTCTTTCTCTCTACCAAAAAAGCAGGCTTGTAATCTTCATATGCATGCTGTGTTCCTTATAGTGTTTTTTTTCATGTTATTAATGTTGATGCCCATTTGATTATATTTGACCACAGACTGAAATGTGCTTAAATTTTGGAGAAAAGAGAGGAAATTTTTTTGACTCTTTTAGCAAATACTTTTAATGGATGTCTCTTTAGGTAAATATAACTTTTTCCCGCAATTTTTAGCAAAAATTACCGCCCCAAATTACAGTACATGGATTTTTCCTAAACAAAACCCTTTATCTAAGACATGATCATAATCGCAAACGTTCAGAAAAAACAAAGCAAGGATCTTGATTCTTAGATCAGTAAGCTTTGATGTTTCAACCGAAGCAGCAAATCTAAAACCATGAAAAAGACTTGGACCCAATTTGAAAAAAGAAAAAAACATTCAGAAATAACAACTACAAAGTCAATTCTTGTTCATGGAGTTGAAGCATTTTTGTCTTGATTCAACCATGGCAAAGCAATTTCAGGTTTGACTATGGAGCTTCCAAGATTAGGGCTGCTACATCCACTGCTATCAGAAACTGAAGCAAGCGTTCTCTGCAAAACCCCAGATGGGGAAGACATGGAACTGGGCCGGGGACTGCTTGCATCTCCATTTCTGGTGATCGGTGATTGTGGATTTGAGGCGGTAGTGCTCGACCGAAGAACCTCTGCCAGAGGCCCTCCTGGGGTGGAAGAAGACTGTGCCCAAACAGGTGCAAGCCAGGTTGATAGATGAGGTTTGTTGACATTACATTCATGATCTTCACGTAACTCTGTGACACCCAAACTCATTTGGATCCGACCCATTTCTCCATCAATGGAGTCGTTGGCTCCTCCCATTGTTAAACTCAGCGAGGAGAGAGGAAGCTTTCCATGGGAGGAACCAGAGATTTTGCAGGCGGTGCGTGGCTCATCAGACCATGCATCAATGAAACCTCTCGGAGTATACGCGTTGATTAACAACGAACTGTCGTTGATCACTTGATCTTCTGATCGGTAAACGAGTTTGGCGAATGAGTTGCGATTCAGAGGCTCGTCGTGGTAACTTCTGGTGGCCGGAGAAGAACCCTGACAACCGGTAAAGAGACTATCACCGTTAATTCCTAGTCTGGTCTGCTCCGACACCAGGTTGTGCCACTGATTACTATGATCAGTCGGCGCGGTGATCGGCATAGGTTGGTTATTCATCATCCAATCCCAACTTCTTCAATTCCCAAAAATAACAAAATCAGAGACAAAAATTCAAATTTTTGAAACCCATCTGATTATTGACAAGAATTGTAACTTCAAAGTTCAACCCACCTGTGAGAAGAATCAAAGTTTGATGCTTTTTCAGCGGGTTTGTCCAGAAACTGAGAGGTTTGGTTATGGAATGGCTGAGCAAGAGTCCCGAGAAACTGAGTCGAAGAAGACGAAGAACCATTTTCCTTGATAGCGAGGGTGACAGCAGACGAAGGTTGAAGAAGATGACAATGGCGGGTCTTCTTGTTGTTGAAATTAGCAGCAGCAAGTTCCACAGGCTTTCTTGAACGGGGACGGCCTCTGTGCATATGACGCTCACAGTACTTCTGATCAGGCGCCACATCTCTTGAACACCGCCATTTTTTCCCATCTGTCCGACGACATCTCCCCGGCTCCGGATCACCGGAACTGGAGAATCTCAAATTCAAACCACTACCCACTGGTCAAAACAAAACAAAACAAACTAACTCATAAGAACCATGGAAGCTTCGACTACAAAGAAAACAAAACTTTAATAAAAAAATAAATAAAAAGGTTTGATTACATGGAGGAGAAGGAGAGACAGTGGGAGGAGGTCTGGTTATGGAGAAGAGAAGATCAGGTGGAACAGGAACAGAGGCCATCATATACTTATAAATCATTGCTTGTCTCTCTAGCTCGTTCCACTGAGCATTTGTAAAAGGAAACCCCAAAGATGCTGCCGCCATGATTCCTTCTGTTCCACCTACACAAACACCCACTAAACCTCATCAGCTTTACAGTTCCCCTTCCATAATTATCACAGAGAGCTTTTAGGGAAGAAGAAGCATTGACTTGGAGATGAAATAAAAATGTACCTGGGGATTTGAAGATGGCGTGAGACGAAGCAGCGAGAGTTTTATTCGGTGAAATGTCAAAAGGCTGCAATGGCGGATTATTGCTTGCTGCCGCACCACCTCCACTATTTCCTCCAACAGGAACAGCGCTATTAAAGCTCGCACTTGACCTGGTGGTGGTGGTGGTGGTACAAGTGGGACCCCCACCATCACCATCTCCATCACGATCATGATCATCACCGTGTGATGAAAATGAACGGTGGTGATTACTGCTGTTATTGTTATTATTATAAGCATGGTAAGCCATCGCCATCTTACAAGGGAATGATTCAGTACGCTGCAGCTTCACAGGAAAATCAATACTTCGTCTTCCTCCTTTATCTCCTCCTTCTGCATCACTGTTAAAGGCTCGTTTGGCTGGCTTGTCGGAAACTCGAAACCCATCCAAGCTGGTGACTGCACTCATAATATAAAAATCAAAGTAAAACCCACTGTCTCAATCTGGGTCAGCTCTGGGGACTTTCTTTTATTTTCTTTTCTTTTCTTTTCTACCAAACGAGTACGTGAAGATAAATTTGGTGGGTGGGATCTGTGAATATAAAAAATAAATGGTGGTGGGGTTTTTATGATAGAATAGAGGGATGGGTTGCCGCCATTCTCGGCCTCTGATCTGCTTCCATGCTTCCAACATTCGCACCGAGACTAGTAGACAAAATTTACTAAAAGCAAAAACTCTCTCTCTCTCTCTCTCTCTCCTAATTATTGTCCCTCGAGGATTCATCATCTATCTATTCTTTCCTTTTTCCTCCATGTAAAAAGCTAATCCCCACCCAATTATCTTCAACTCTAAGCTCCACTTTTTCACTATCTACTTCTTTTTTATTGCAAGATAAAGAAAAACCCACAATGGATTTTAATGATCTTCCATGAATAATTATATTATTTAAACATCAAAATAAATATCCCATAATTTTAATATGTAATAAAATGTTTATTATACCAATATTTTTTAACGCTACGATGTCGTCTTGAAAGCTTGACATTGTTTTTAGGATTCGACAGTGCTCGTACCTTTCTTGTTCTTGTTCCGCAAATGTTACTAACAAAAGAGTTCGTAGGTTAGATTTTGGAATGATTAATGTAATTTTAGGAAAATGTAGAGTTAGAGAAATTATTTATAAATTTAATACATTTTTAAGAATTTATATGTCACATTTATTTTTTATTTTTTAAATATATTAATTACAATATAATATAAATAATTTTAAAAATTAATGTATTCACGAAAATATAATCTAATTGAAATAATTTTTAAAAAATAATAATTTACATTATCTAAATATAAGAATTTACAATATTTTATATGCATAAATTAATAATTTGTAAATAATTTGTTATAATTTAATTTCTAATATTTTTTATTAGGTTTCACAACTTTATATTTTATAACAAAAATAATTATGTCATATTTATTATTTATTTTTCAGCAGATAAAGCTAATTTTGCAATTTATTTTTGATGTTTTGAAAAATATATTAAAATAAACAAATAAAGATTTTAACTTAGAAAGAAGCTCTTTCTGGATTGTATGATAAACGCCGTGACTTTTGTCGTTTTGATCGCCGTTAGTGATTTACGTCCTCGTTTGGCGCACCGGAAAATGGCCCACCAAGTCGTAGTAGACGTGATGCCTTAACTAATTTGTCTCGAAGTGATGCCCGCCTTTTTATAGCGGTTTTATCCGAGTCTCTCCCTACCCCTCACTCGCCCTCCTCGCGTGCGCCCGCTCAGCTCCCGGCAAAAACCGCTCGCGATAGCCTGGCGTTTGTTATTCAGCCGCCAGTAAAAAGCGTGGGGAAATCGTCGCGTCGTATAAGGTAATTAAGATGAGATATGACAGGTCATGAGGTGAGACGGTAAATGACAAATAACACTGTTAGTAAACTTATTATATTAAATTAAACTCGCACTTAATTAGCATTATATAAAATTTATGGGACCAAAATAATTTTATAAATTAAAAAAATTTGATTAAATGAAATTAACCCTTAAAAATAATTAGAGGGTAAGAGATAGATTTTTGTTTTTCTTATTTAATATTTTAATTAAGTAATATAATTAGGAGATGATTAAGAGATTGATTTAGTGAAATACAAGAAGGAAAAGGAAGGAAGCATTGATGGGGAGGTCAAAAATCGATTTTGCAAGGACAAGTACAGCTGTAGAGGAGAATGCTCTGTCTCCATCACATGCAATCACACGTTGAAACCAGACTATATCTCTTATCTAATTTTATTTTATTTTTTAATAAAATAAAATTATTTATTATTTACCGAAATAAAAAATTAATATATAATTATATTGTATTGCCTCTTTGTCTGGAGTTTAAATTCTGGAACTTAAATCTCTCAAATTTCCCATGTTGATTTTGTCTCTTTTACCATCAAATTTCTACAAAATATTAAAAAATAATAAATAATTAAGTGCAAGTTGGACTAATCACTATAATTTAAGGTAATTACTAACGCCCACTTGTCATAGCACCGTCGTTATCTACCGCCGTTACTCTCCAATAACATCACGCCACGGCTCTATCACTCCCCCGACGTTAACTTATTGCTTTCTGTCTTTCTAGAATTTCTATTATTTATTTATTTAATTTAGTTTGAATCAAATGATTCTCTCGTCACGTACCATCCTCTGTCCCTATTTAAAATTTTAATCTTTATAAAATTATTTATCATTTATACAAATTATTATTTTTTATAATAAAATTTAATTATATTTAAATTCGAATTTTCTTATTAAAAGTTGATACTTGTTTCATTTACTTAAAAATTTATAAAATTTACAAGAAGTCAATTTTATTAAAAATTATGAAAATCTTATGATAAATACACAAAATATAAAATTTATAAAAATTAAATTTATGTAGATATTTAAGGTATAATAATGTAAGAGTATCTTTTAACTTAATAATTTATTATAATAAAATTTAATCTAATCATTTATAATTTTAATTAAGATTACACTAATAATTTATCTATAGTTATATTTAAACTCAAATTTTCTTATTGAAAGTTGTTAGTATAATTTTATTAGATACACTTGTTTGATTTACTTAAAAATTTATTGAACTTGTAAGAGATTAATTCTATTATAAATTATACGGTAAATACATAAAGTATAAAGTTTATAAAGATTATTTTTTTTTTTTGTGTGGGTATTTAGGGTTTAGTAATGTAAGGGTATGATTAACTTGTATATGATTATATGGGTGTGCATGTATATATATATATAATAAAATAAAATAATAGGTTTGTGAAAAGGGTGATGACAAAAGGGGATGGAGAGGAAAAGAAGATGGTGGGTGTTGTGGAGGCATCTCTCTCGAGTGTCTCATAAGAAACAATAAGATGAAGAATAAGGACGGCATGGACCGCTTACTTTTTTCTCTTTTATTTTTTATAATTCAATCCCCTTCGCTCACTTCCAAGCTACCACCGCCAAGGAAACACCCTCCCCAATAAATTATTATATTTTCAATTTTCTTTTTTATTTTTACGTAATAAATACGAATAATTATAAATAAAACAAAAAAAAAACACCTATTTTTTGGTGTCTGTGCCGCTATTTAAATAAAAATAATAATTTATATTTAAATATAATTATAGTTTAATTTATCGTATTTTTAGAATTTATTGCAATTTTTGCGAATAAGGCCCACAGAGTGTTACATGGGCCATGGCTTGGAAAATGGGCCCTTTACTCTTCTCCCCCGAAAGGAGACCACACGTGTCTAATCACTTCATTTTAATTAATTAATTATTTATTTATTTTTTTATACTCAAATATATAATATTTTAAATATACTTTTAATTTAAATATATTTTATATAATTATATTTATAGTTATTAAATTTGACTGATTATGAAACTGACTAAGTACTTGTTTATTAGTTTGAACGACCATTTATGAGTTTAAAATATTAAATAATAAAAATTATAATAATCGTATATTATATCACTAATGATTGTTCAAATTAGACATATATATATATATATATATGTACATGAAGATAAATATTTAGATTTCGCTATTTAAATTCAACTGAATTTACTGTTGACTTTTTTACGGTCAATTTAACTCAGATTTTAATAAATATAATTTTTATATCGTGTTGTACCCGATATATCAAAAATTATGAAATTTAAAACTACATTATGGGATAAATTTAAGATTATATAGAATTTGTTATAAATTAAAATTTCTGTAAATTTTTTTTTTTACATTTTTTCAATTACACATATTGACTTGATTTTTATGAATTTATATAATATTTTTATTATTTACTTAAATATTTATTAGTTACAAGTTAATTAATCAGATTTTTTTAAATTTATTACAAACATATTCTAAATATGAAGCACTGGGCCTGGTCTGTTTTAAAAGGAGGTGCAGGGACCCAAAACTACGGACTTGAGGAATTTTGTAGTTTATCAGGGGTAAAATTGTCTTTACAGGTCTTCAAGACGGTGCCGTTTAGGAGTGGGGATATAATGGTAAATGAAAGGTTGACTTGAAGCTTAAGCAACAAGCAATGCTGGCCAGGTAATCCGCGCAAAGTTGGCATCCTCTTCTTACGTCAAAACTTTCGTCTCTTTTCCGTCACCTTTTCTCTCTCTTAACAGATAATTATATATTTTTCAATACAAATTTATTTTACAATAAAAAAATACACACGTAAACATTTAATATTTTAATATTTATTTAGTATTATATTTGCTTTTGGTTTTATTTACTTTAAAATGGTTGCCATAATATGTAATGGTTCTGGAAATTTAAATAAAAATGTATGTATTAAAAATTTTAAATACGGAAGCGAAATAAAAATTCTGATTAACATTCCTTACAAAATAACCATAAACGTATTCAACGTATGAAAGAATAAGCTAATTAAAAGAAATACTAGAAATAAAAATTATAAATAGAACTATAAAATCTTTAGGCGTCTAACTTGCCGTCTTCCTGCGGAACGGGCTCATGAACCACGTCTTCCTGATCTGAAATGGTTAAGTAAAAAATGAGTTACACTAGCCCAGTAAAGACATCACATATCTCGCTGCCACAGGAGTAAAGGTTGGTAGAAAACAAAAACGACCAATGGAGCATAATTTATAACAAACTCATTTATTAATAATAAAAACCTTTACTGTCCACTTATCTCGGTGAGATTCGTGAAAATAACATATGAAAACAATAACATTATAACCATCATAAAATCATATACACTTTGTAATATAACACATGTTATACTTTTGCACTTCAATAATCAGACAAAAAATTTCATCTTTTACCAGCCTACTAGTATCCATAGGGGGTCCCCGCTACACGTGAACCATTAACATTAATAACCTGATTCTAGGGCTGCCCCCATACCCCGTCTAGTATGGGCGCCAAAACCATAAACCTCAATATCTCATCCGGTATGAGGGTGAAATGGGTCGTCCCCATACCCTGTCTGGTATGGTCGCCAAAACCATAAACTTCAATACTCCGTCCGGTATGAGGGTGAAACGGGTCGTTGCCATACCCCATCCAGTATGATGGTGAAACGAGCCGTCCCCATACCCCGTCCGGTATGGGCGCCAAAACCATAAACCTCAATACCCCATTCGGTATGAGGGTGAAATGGGATGTCCCCATACCCCGTCCGGTATGGGCGCCAAAACCATAAACCTCAATACCCCG